GGACCTGTCTTTGTAGTGCATGTTGCGTTACTTGTATTTATGGTGTTTCTTTGTTCTTGAGGTTGTATTTGTGTTGTTGCTTGGGTTATTGGTGGAGACATTACAGTATTTTGTGAGCCTGTAGTGCTTTTAAGGTTTTTGCGTTTCGGTTGAATACGAGTGGGTTGTTTCTGAGAAAGAGGAGTATTGTGTTTTTTAACTGTGCTAAGACGTGTAATTTTATTGGGTGGACCTGTTTTTGTAGTGCACGTTGCGTTACTTGTATTTATTGTGTTTCTTTGTTCTTGAGGTTGTATTTGTGTGGTTGCTTGGGTTATTGGTGGAGACGTTACAGTATTTTGTGAACCTGTAGTGCTGTTAAGGTTGTTGCGTTTGGGTTGAGTACGAGTGGGTTGTGAGAACATGGTGTGTTTCTCAGAAGAAAATTGTGTTTGTTAGCTGTGCTAGGCCGTGTAACTTTATTGAGTGAGGGCGTCTTTGTAGTGCATGTTGCGTTACTTGTATTTATTGCGTTTGTTTGTTCAGGAAGTTGTGTTTGTGTGGTTGGTTGAGTTAAGGGTTATTATTATTATTATTATTATTATTATTATTATTCCATAAACACAGGGATAAATCATTAAGAAAAAGCTATTCCTTGAAAACGGCGATTCACCGAATCATTTATGGAAGAAATTTGCCGACGGAAAGTTACAATCTACTAACAACTCGATTGTTTAATTCTTCCGGATCAATTGCCTGTGTAAGGAGAGCTCCAAGCGTATTTTATGTCAAAATCGTCATCTGCAGAAGACACTTTTTATATGAGGTACCGTTATTTTATTTAGGTAAAAAATGAGGGGTTGTATATCTTTAAGAAAAATCGTTACGCTCGCCAGGAAAGAATGCCGGTTACATAAAACTCGATACCAGTCTACAATCGTATGGTTTAATATGAAAAACCTACGATTAATATATAATATAATATATAATATAGCTTTATTGGGTGATGCAGCAGTTGACAAATACGATTAGGTAGTACATATTTTTACAGTTTAAAGATACAGATGCACGTATATGCAATAGACTGCAACCCCAAAGGCGAAGTTCGGTTGAAGAGCAATACTGAGGGACTGCTCTTCTCCGCTCTACCACTTAACCTCAAAATTGCTGCGAAAGAACCCATAACTGACAGAATGTAAATATAATCCGACCAGTGTTACCCTATAGACAGTGATGCCTACTGTGATTGCCATATTTGCTTTGTGCACGTTAATCGTCTAACATTAAAGATGTCATACGATATTTAAATAATTTTAAGGGCAAGCGTTTCAATTCGGGTGAAAGGGCATTGTACGTTACAACTGCGTTGTAAGAAAATGATTTCAGATAAGCTGATTTAGAAATAAACTTGAAGGAGGGCATCGATAATAATCCCTTTCCCCGTATATTCACGTTGTGTACGTCGGTACGGTATCGCATCTTGTTATTAAGATATTTCGGAAACCCAGTAGTAATTAAAGAGTGATACACACATAAAGAATGAAGCTTATTCCGCCTTTGTGACATATTAAGCCACGCTAATTCTCTCAATTTGTGAGAGATATGACTGCGACGCCTAAGACCAAAAATGAAGCGAACACAATCATTTTGAACAACCTGTATACGTTTGTCAGAGGCAGCATCAAGACATGGCCCATAGACCATGTCACAATGATTAAATTGCGACAACACTAACGAGTCGCACAACATTTTTTTTGTCTTAACGGACAGGAATGCTCGGTGCGGATACAGGCATTTCAAATTTCCATAAGCCTTGCGTATACAGTTCCTTACATGTTCTCTAAAGCAAGATCACTATCTACGCACAATCCTAAATTTTTAGCGACATTTTTTACAGTAATTGGTACATCATCAATACGTAATTTTACATACTCAGCAGAAAGTAATGCTCCTGCACCAAATACCAACGCGACGGATTTCTTAGGATTGAGCAGTAAATTATGATCTTTGGAGTGGGAATAGAGAAAACTCAGATCCGCATTTATCTTTGTACAAGCATTATGTAATTCATGTTTAAAGAAGGAGTAATATAATTGTGTGTCGTCCGCATATAGATGATAACTGCAAGTCTTTAGAACTTTGTGCAACTGACTTGTGTACAACGTATAAAGCAGTGGTCCTAATATAGAACCTTGAGGTACGCCGGACTTAACAGTCAATACATTAGAAAATGTATTGTGATTTAAACTAACTAATTGAGATCTACCCTCTAGAAAACTTTTCATGAGGTTAAGTGCACAGTTACCAAAGCCAAGGTGCCGTAACACTGCTAACAGTATATTATGGTCAATAGTGTCAAATGCTTTACTGTAGTCTAATAGAACCAACACCGTAATCTTCCCACCATCAATTGCACAAAGTATATCATCCATCACATGCGCCAAGGCTGTAGAGCAACTATGATTTGGTCTGAATCCGGATTGCATTTCCGGTAGTAGATTGAATTGTGTGACGAAGTTTCTTATTTGCAACTCTAAGCATCTTTCCAAAACTTTAGATAACATTGGCAGTATACTGATCGGCCTAAGGTCCGAATAACTTCCTGGTTTTAATATTTTTGGTATCGGTTTAACGATGGCTCTTTTCCACAAGGACGGAAACTCACACTCCAAAATGGCTGTATTTACAAGATGAGTAATGAATGGGATTAAGAAAGGACAACACAATTTGATGAATTTTACATTAAAATTATCTACACCACAAGCGTTAGATTTCAGGTTTAGAATAATGTCAAATATTTGATCAGGTGTGACAGTTTGAAACTTAAACTCCGGAATGTTAGCATTAAGCTTTCCACTATTATAGAACTTTATAACTCGATCAATATTACCGTTTAGATTAGGTACAGACTTGATGAAGAACGTATTAATATCATCAGGTATTTGAAGGTGATTGTACATCGAGATCAGCTGTTCTATGACCGGCATTATCTCCTGGCGAGGATTATAATCGACTGAGGTTTAAAAACTGTTAAGGAAATCTTGACCTGGACAAGGTTCTTGAGCAGCATCTATTTAGCCTAGAAGACCCTATTCTAGTTACCACGTTCAGGAGTTGGAGGTACTCGGGCGAAATCCTAAGAACTTCGTGCGAGAAGAACCATTCTCTTGAGTCGTTAAAAAAGGTGGTTGGCACACTCCCTTAATTGTGGTAGGCTGTACATCTGAAGGTAGTGCAGGAAGACTGCTTTCCTAAGCTCCGCAAGGCTGCCATTTGGGTCCCGGGAGAACCTGATGACCTGGAGGTAGTAAAGTGATGCTTGGAAGCACGGAATTCCTGGGCAGATAGGGGATCTTCGAGCTTCTTTGCTATTCCCAAATCAACTCCAATTTTCAGTCAGTGAAATATCTATAGGTATCACGCTTGACAAAAAACTGAATGGGAGTATTTCGTAATTCTCAAGGTTTGTGTATAACCTTTGAATATAAAATATAGGTTATATTCAAAGGTCTATTCTAACTAATAACCTGAACTTTTTCGTTGCATTTTTGGGGTCGTATCTTTAGCAATAACAAATGAAAATGTTCGCAAGGAAATTTTATTATAAAACGTTCCCATCGAATCTAAAATTGACGTATGCAAGTGTTCCCTGACTTTAGAGCATAGTAATTATTAAATAGCCCAAGGACCTCTACGAAATTGAAGGTAATGTAAAATCGAATTATTTAAAAACAGCAAAGTTGCTCTTAACAATTACTGAAATTCAGCTTGGAGAACCCACACCGTCTCATTGTAGCGTCTCGCCAGAGTAGGTATAAGTTCCATTTTAACAATTGATAGAGCTCCCACGCTCTTTAAAAAGCTGTTCTAAGAAAATACAATTCGTAGTTCTACCTAAGATAGTGGAATACAGGTGAAATTCTTTTTAAAAAGCCTATATTTCGCAAGTTGATAATCTGTCTCATTTATACTAGAAATAGAAATTTGCGTCTAGCACAGATATCACCCGCACCGCATTACGTTTGGTAAATAGCGTCTATATGCACTGTCTCAGTCGATTTTGAAAGTTATTTTTTAACTCTCTGCAGCATATCGACGAGTATGTTGGCAACAGCGCGACCAATGTTGTTTCTCAATTCAGGACGATCCCTTTAGACCAATGACCCCCACAGAAAGTACTGGAAAGTGTTACCGCAAAACAGTAATTGATATTGGTGCGATGTGTGCCATGACTCCATCCTGCTGGAACTACTCTTCTTCTACATCCATTTTTTCAAGTGCTGGCAAGAAAAATTCTTGAACCACGTTGACATATCGGTCTGCAGTCACAATGACTGCTTGGTTGTTCTCTTCAAAGAACCATGGAAAAAAAATGTCAATATTTTGAGCTGATCTTAGTGTTCGTGGAAGCCCAGGTTTCTATTTCTTTACATCACCAGCTTCTTTGAAGTTATTTACCCATAAAAAAACTCGGCCAGGAACATGGGCACGGGGATCAAGATTGAAATGGGCACGGAATGAATGATTAGTTAGAGGGGATGGATCAACACCCTTTCGGATGACTTTGCTGCCAACCCAACAGTCATCGCTTCAGTACTACCAACTGAAATAAGTAAGTTTCTCTACTCATCCTGTAGTACGTAATTTACTGGCAAATAAACCTGGGCTGGGGGAAAGTACCTACAGACAAGCAGACCGACATATTGACATCATCGAAAGTTTGTTTGATTCGGATTCCTGGTGCTTCAAAACGTGCATTTCCGTAAAAAACACGGATCCTGTTACTGGGTCGTGGTTAAAATACAGATTTGAGAATGAAGGTCACAAGTTTTTGAAGAACATATTTGGTTTTTGCCAAATCGCCACTTTCAGTTTCATTGACAACTCATCCTTGTTCTGCTAATTGATGTCGATCACGTAACGTGCATTATCAAGTATAATTGTAAACACATAATTCATTAGTAACCCACTTCCAATGCTAATGAGGCCGATTTTTGACGTTGCGCAAATTTGTTTCGTGTTTGCATTCATGTAATTGAACAGAAAGGTACGTGTGCGACATTTTGATGAGCGATGAATGATCAGTCATTTGCGGTGGTAAGCACTAGGTATATAAGCGGTTGGATTTTGGACAATTGCATTGTGTGTTCGAATACATACAGAGATCATGTTCAAATTGGTAAGTCGCATTGTACGAGTATAAAGTGTAATTAATCAGTTTTAGTTAATTCTGGTTTTCGCCATGTTGCTTGCCCTGGCCGTGGCCGCACCCGGACCACGTCCTCAATTTTACTACGGCTCTTACCCTTACAGCTACGGATACTCGTCGGGATATTCCTATCCTTACTATGGAGGATATTACATTTAACAGTGGACAATTTTATAGATTCCCGACTTAGTGTTTGGCCAACCAACTGCTGTTATCAATGTTCGAAAGTGATTTTGCTCTAAACTGTAATATAACGCTTGATATACAAAAGTGATGATCCAATAAAAAATACTTTCCAGTGCATTTGAGTTTTGCAATGTCTGGTAGGTCCTTTGAAATTTTAATTAAAAGTTTTTAAGTGAGACAGCACCCTGAGTAAAAAAATAGTTCTAGATGGTGTAAAGACACGACGCGATTACTTGAATTCTCCTATCAAATCGCAGGTGAGGGTACTCGCACACGTTGGGCCTCTTCAGGTTGACCAAGGTGGGTAGAAAAACAAAGTAACCAATTATGCTCGCGACCACAATAGCCAAACATATCCACACCGAGTTCGCACCGTAAACGTAAACGTCGCGTCGGACGAACGATTTTTGGTAAAAAAGGAAGGTTATTACTGCCTTTTTTTTGAGCCCCGAAGAAAAAATTGTCTCAGATCGACCCGGAAAAAAAATTTTCTTATAGAATGTGGCCTGTAGAATCCATAATTTCAAACAGTTCCAAGATTGGGCTACTAGTTCAAAAGTTACAGCCCTTTGAATTTTCTTTCGAAATTGGTTTCTAGTCTATAACCTTTGATTGAGAAGTCTGATCGAAAAAGTACGAATTGTTTTGGATTCTACGCACCAAAATTAATAAGAAAAAGTGTTTTCCCGAGAAATTTTGGTGCAGTCGATTTTTGGTAAAAAAAGGAAGGTTATACACTGCCTTTTTTTGAGCCCCGAAAAAAAATTGTCTCAGATCGACCCGGAAAAAATTTTCTTATAGAATGTGGCCTGTAGAATCCATAATTTCAAACAGTTCCAAGATTGGGCTACTAGTTCAAAAGTTACAGCCCTTTGAATTTTCTTTCGAAATTGGTTTCTAGTCTATAACTTTTGATTGAGAAGTCTGATCGAAAAAGTACGAATTGTTTTGGATTCTACGCACCAAATTAATAAGAAAAAGTGTTTTCCCGAGAAATTTTGGTGCAGTCGATTTTTGGTAAAAACAGGAAGGTTTTACACTGCCTTTTTTTGAACCCCGAAAAAAAAATTGTCTCAGATCGACCCGGAAAAAATTTTCTTATAAAATGTGGCCTGTAGAATCCATAATTTCAAACAGTTCCAAGATTGGGCTACTAGTTCAAAAGTTACAGCTCTTTGAATTTTCTTTCGAAATTGGTTTCTATAGTTCTACAAGTAAAGAAAAATGACAGTTTTCCAGTTAGTGAAAATAGTTGCAATTTTCACAAGCTGGAAAACCACTTTTCTTACGTGTAGAACATGCTATTTTTTTGTGTACTTCGGAATTAAAAGATATTAATCAGATTTTATATCGACTAATATAATATGATATAAGTCTATAATAGTTTAAAATTGCTACTTTAATTTGAAAATATAATCATTTTACCCGGAATTATGTAATATAATTACCATAACAACGGTTTGTCCATAACCAAATAAACAAGCTGTGAAACCGTTTTGCAAAAAGTTCAAACGAAGGGACAAAATTTCTAAATTTTCTGGCAAAGCCAAAGAGGCAATTGAAAATCTAACACCTTTAAAATCCAAGGGAAAATATGAAGAATGTTTCCAAAACCTTAATAATGGAGAAAAATAAAAGGTACAATTGAAGCCAAGGAGGAAGTGGCATCAATTCTAGACGATGCGTCCGCACCTACATTATCCGTTCCAGGAATGCATTCAATTTCGAAATCATATTCTGAAATATCCATACGCATTCGAGCTAATTTAGACGTAGGATCTTTTAAAGAAAATAAATAAGATAAAGGCTTGTGGTCTGATCGAACTGTAAATCTTGAACCAAAAATGTATGGATTGAAGAACTTTATAGCCCAATGAATAGCTGTTAATTCTTTTTCTATAGTTGATTTGTTAAGTTCTCCAATTGTCAAACTTTATGGCGCATAAGATATGGGGTGATCTTCGCCGTTAATTTTCTGTGAGGGTATAGCACCTGTTCCATGTTTTGCTGCATCAACCGTTATAATAAATGGTTTTGAGAAATCAGGACATTGAAGAATTGGAGGTTCACAAAGAAATGATTTAAGTTGATTAAAAGCTAATTTACATTCATCTGTCCATCTAAATTACCATTTTTTCCTTGTTAATTTATTTAATGGATATGCAATGCTCACAAAATTAGGAATGAATCTTCTACAGTAATTACAAAATGCAATAAAACGTTTGGATGCATCCTTATTTTTAGGTTGAGGGTAATTTCGAATAATTTCAAATTTCGAATCGTCTGTGGTAATATTCCTTTATCAATACATTTGTGTCCGTAACTACATTTTTAAAGAATTGACATTTATAGGGATTTAATTTAAGATTAAATTTCCTAGTTTCAAAAACTTCTTTAAGATTTTTCAAATGATGATTTTCAGAAGATCCTAGCACTATTAAGTCATCTAGGTATAAAAAACAAGATGATAGTGGTTAACCAGAAAAAAAAGCAATTGACATCATTCTCTGAAAAGAATTTGGAGCAACATTCCAATAATAATAAAAAAAATAAATTTTCTCTTGAAGGTAATTCCGAATTCCTTTCTGCACTCTTGTTTAAGTTCATTCAATTTATTTTGAATTTCTTGCCATGTATAGGTACCTATGTAAAAGAATTATTACTGTGACTTAGCTAGACGTGGAAATCGTATGCATTATTAGCATTCATAATTAATAATAGTACTAGGTTGAGTATCTGTTTATTTAGTAACTATTGCATTTTAAAAGGAATGACAGCGAATATAGAAAACTTATTCTGTTTTGCTCTGGACGCTACGTCCAAAATCGGCAGGTCTCGAGGCATCGTAGGCGACTGGGTACCCGAAGTGGCTTGGGACGGGAGCAACACCGTATGGCGAGCCGTGCAAAACGGGATATGGGTGGACTGCGGAGTTTTCCAAGGGTCCAGCGAAGTGGTACTGGTGGCTGTAGGCAGCTTTGGCGATGGGAGAGCTGTAAGCGCTATGCGTGTAGGGGAAACTGGCGAATCCGTTGAACGGGTGATATCCCGGATATCCGTGGATTCCGTATGGATAAGCGGAGTACGGGGCGGCGACTGGAACTTTGCTCGGTTCTTCTACCGGTTTAACTTCGGCACCGAAGACGGCGCAGAGAAGAACAGACAGGATAACCTATAGAAAATAATGGTAACGTTTGGTATCTAAAATGTGAATGTATTTACCAGTTTCATAGTGCTTGGCTTGAAAGAGCTGCTACAGTGGTTAGTTTTGGGCTCGCAAGGGTTTATATAGTGGGTAGAGTTTACGTAATCATTATTTACATAGTTGTACAATAATTTCACCGAAATAGTCGATGCTCTGATGTGATATATGGGTATAAATTACAATAAATTTCATTGTCATACTTTCGCTGTTAATTTTGGGGTAGTAACTGTAATTATACAGATCAGTGTATTTAATACAATGAAATATTTTCATTAGGTCTTTGACCCGTCTCTTGCATTTGTAGCATTTCCATTTCTCCGAGTTAAATTAGTTTTCCTTATGAATAAATCATTTTTAATAAAAATTTAAAAAAATTGATTACAAGGACACTTAAATTCAAATTAATGCACGAGAAACTTGAATTTGGGCGAGAAGGAATATTGATATCCAGTTTCCATTATTCTCGAATTTTCCGTATCCATACAATCGATGAGATGAGCTTTATTTATAAATAGTATAATGAATAGGCAGACGTTTTCGATTTGATTATTTAATATTCGCGAACCCGACAACAGTGAGGGGTCATCGAACAGCTTTTGATGAAATTTTCCAACTTATTTATATGATTACATTTAATTCTCTACGGCGTGTTTCGATTATCTAAAGAATAGAAAATCCTCCAATCACGTACGGGAGTTGTATAGGTACCCTTAAGGACAGGTCAATAATTGCCAAGAACGACCAGGACTATTTCAATTGAGTGAAATGAAACATGCCACAATGAATTTCTTCGTTAGAAAAAATACTAATTATTATACTGTCGTATATTGTGCACCCCAGGAACAGTGCAGAACATTACTTCAACTTTTAACAACGTTCTACATATTGTTCTTAAAAACGACTACATTCGAATGAATTAGAAATATACGGTATATTAGTGCTAAAATAGTTCAGTTAGTGAAACCAGCATTACATTCTATACTAAATTGCCTAAATTACCAAAGTCCTCGTGTGAGATCGAAGGGACTTTCATCGCATTTTTGTTGAGTCACAAGTGTTGACTCGTCCATCAGTAAAATCTTGCAGTCGAGGGCAACGACACTCCCTTTGTCGGTACTTGCTTTCGACGTCCCGTTGACCAGCAATTCGCATTTTGGTGAATTTTCCTATAAACTCTCCACAAAATGGCACCTCAATTTTTGAGGCACTTCTCATAACTTGCACTTGTATTGGCGAAACGAGGAAGAGAGATCGTGACCCGAGCTTTAAGAAACTTTAAACCGAGTGACAAAATTCGCAACGGCTGATACCTTTTGGTCGCCCGAAGTCGACCACCCCTCGAAGACGCGCGCCTTGCAAAAGGCGGTTAATTTCACCCATAGGAAAAAAAATTCCACCACACAGACGCTGTACGTGTTTACAAGATCTTTCCGACAACACTAATTTGAAAACAATCGGACCAAACCTGTAGAAGCCTGAAAAATCACCAGGTTAGTACATCACGCTGGAGAATGGGGCCCAGATGTCGCCCCGTCCCGATAGTTGTTAATATGTCTGTTTTTCTACAAGCGTTCTTCTACGGGCCAGCATTTGCTGCCAGCCATCCATCCAGCCAGCCAGCCAAAGTGAGATTAAATTTAATGGTTTGCCATTTTTGTAAGCTGGATATTTCCAAATTATCTGTATTTGGACAAAGTCATTATTTATGATATTCATGATTATTTATACTTACTCCGGAAGGCATTTAAGTACAGGGTTTAGAGTAACACAAATAATATGTTTCATATAACATTCCAGTGCGATTTAATAAGAGTGCTCACATTTATTGAGCAAAACAGGAAACTAACGGGCGGGAACTCCTACTCCCACTCTGTTTTTTTCAGAATATATACGAGGATTTTTACATAGTATACATTATTTTATTGCAACCAATTACATATTCTGAAATCTTCGACTTTTTGTTATTTTTTTTAACGTAGTCAAGATTCCGAAAGCTTTTTCACACTCACGT